GAGATACAAAGTCCTACGTAGGAGATATCAAGTCCTACACAAACCTCGTGTCATCTTACTGCTCTTGCAAGAATGGGATGTATGGGGTGCAAGGATCAACATATTGTAAAAAAAAAATGATTTTAGAAGAGGCTAAAACATATGACCACAGCCTCTCAATGTGCTGGATTGACTACAAAAAAGCATATGACTCTGTCCCTCATGAATGGATTCTGAAGTCTCTTCATTGTATTGACCTCCCTGAGCGACTACTTGATTTATTCAAGTCTTTAATGAGTTGCTGATCGACTCAACTTGAGATGTACGCGCAAGGGCAGACTTCAGAATCTATTCCAAACAGAAGGGGGATATTCCTGCGGGAATTCCTTCAGTCCTTTGCTTTCTTGTCTGTCTTTTAAATCCTTTGAGCTTTCTGTTCAATAGGGAGGGGGGTTACCATCCAGATCCCAAACACCGCTTACTCGTCTCCTTTACAAGGATGACATTGAGCTCCTTGCCAAAGGAGATACCAATTTTAAAGAACAGGTTATCCTTGTCGAGTCCTTTTCTAATGATATTGGCATGACATTTGGACTCGACAAATGTGATACTCTTCATTTGAAACGTGGCAAAGTAGTTAATGACGGATCGGCCAAGTTACAAGGGGGAGGAGTTATTGAGCATCTTGTGCAGATCAGACCTACACCTATCTTTGAATGCAAGTTCGAGCTGAGGCAAGCTCCAAAAAGCCCAGATTTAAGACAGACTTCGGACTGACTACAAAACTTGCTTAAAGTAGTTGGATGGTCTTAAATGTGAAACAGCGGGTTTTCTTTTTGTTACCCAGGACCAGTCACTTGCAACTCTCAATCACCTAAATGTGATTCTTAAAGAAAATATTGTCATGAAATTCGATTGTACAGAGACTGTCGAAACACCTTGTCAGTGGACGTCCTTCCTTGGCACAAACAGCATATTTTATAAGAGATGATGGCTCGTTGCTTCTACTATCATCTTCTCCATGCCTTTTTCTTTGACTCCGATGTCTGTTCATAGTACGACCCTAAACATGTGCAGGCCGTTATGGAAAATGACGCTTTTAAACGTCTTTGGAATAGGCCCATCTACAGCCTCAGAAGAATTCCAGCTAACAAACCTGATCTTGTCCTTTTTGATTCAGGAAAAGTATGATAAATATGCGGACCTCGCCTTTGAAATGTCTCGCTTGCATCCCAAGTACACTGTCGTCAGTCGCCCTATTGTTCTCGGTGCCCTTGGTTTGGTACCTCCTCATCCCTTGGTGCAGATCAGGAGAGTGCCCGGGTTCTCCACCGGGAGCAAAGCCCTTCTGACACTCTGGGTAATGCAGAAGGCTGCAGTGTTGGGGAGCCTACATATTCTCCGGAAAGTTCTTGGTGGGTTCGACCAGGCAGTGTTTCCTTGGAGAAGTCCCATTCGCTGTCTGGGCTGCGTGTAGAGGGGGCAAGGGCCCTGAGCACATGATGAGCCTTACCAGCCCGACTGTGCCAGGATCAACCGAACCCTCCTGCTGCATTTTCATCTTAATTTGTAAAAGAAACTAAACGTGTATTTCTAATATGTTTTTTCCATGTACAAGGCGCACGCCCAAAGCCTTAACACAGTGGATATATAAAATACATATATACAATGAGGGAATTGTGGCTAGTCACAATACAATGAAAACAGATGAGTCATGAGCAGGCGCTTGGAGGAATTAAAGTCAATTGCTGATTAAAAGGTGATAGGGGACATTCAACAGAAATGCAAAGAGGCATCAAGTAAGGAAAACCTTTTGTAACAAAACGCAGATAAATTAGTATGACCCTAAAATATGTAGGAAAACTATGGAATCCTAGAAGGAACATTAGCGTGTTGTCGCATTGCCACGCTGTCACTCTCAGTAACAACTCCTGTTTTACTGAGGATAACAACGCGACAATGCGACAACGGAACATTTTGGCCATTTGTCACACTGTCACCATGTCGCATTGTGACGCTTTGGATGAATTATTCGAAGCGTGACAACGCGACAATTTCTCTTCCAGGATTTCTATAATTTACTGTTGTATTTTCATGTTCAAGGTTGTCCATTACGCAGAATACAGCATCCTTGTCCAGTTTCTTCGGGACATTTTCTTTACACCCGTGTACGTCTTCTTGGAAAACAGGTATTTATATGTTTTCTACCCATCAAAAGTTTAGACTAACTAGTCTATATGTAGTCAATTACTTCAGTCAACTGTTCTCAACTAGATTGAAAATCTCGATCTTCGCTAAGATCAAACTCTTCAACGATGGAGGTAAGTATTTTTAAACTCGACTCCTGTCTACATCTGTCTGCAAGCGGGCATAGCATGGTTCGCAAACTAAAAGAGGAACGTCTTTCTGGAAACAAGGAATTGAAAGTAGGACACTAAGGTTCTACTCCACTAAATCAGAATCGCATGCTCGCTGAATCACATTTCGTGAGATATGTGACAGCTGTGATTGGATAAAATAGTGTAAGATGTTTATGTTTTTTAAAAGCACATCGATCCAGTAATTAAAATTGACAACAATTTTAAGTTTTAATGCTGTCATTTTTTATCACCAAGACTTATGCTTAATGTGAGTACAGATATTTTCCAGTAGATGACATTTGGTGCGGAACTGGGGTTGATGTATTCAGCTTCCTGTGTTCGGAAAATAGACAAGATAAGTTAGCTGGAATTTGTGTTTTGTTGTAGTTTAAAGGCCAGACTGTACCCAAGTGTACCTGGAATGGCGTTTGACAGCCTGGATGAATATTAAATATATAACGTTACTGTAGAAGTCTATGGGAAAACATTTGGTTTTGTGTAACCTAGAGCAATGCCTTCAAAACCCTAGTGATATTCTGTGTTAGCATGGTTACCGCACACATGGTAAATGTGAATATATTTCTTATTCAAATGAAAAATTTAAAATCTTGCTATTATTTTGTTTCATTGTGATATCATAAGTGTATAATCCGTGCTGTTATGGAAACCATAACCATAGAGTGATCGTACTTCAAGACTTGAACCTTAACATAGACTCGGCTTCTGAATCCTTGAAGTTTAGATTGGCTCTCTCCCTTGTTTACTCCCTTAATCACTTAATGCAGGAATGTATCCTTACATGCGAGCTCATACATCAGTGACATATAATAATAATAATAATAATAATTGGCTTGTATAGCGCCTAGTCTCCATCATAGATGCTCAACGGCGCTGCATAACAGCGTTAAAAACACAATAAGTGTGAAAAGATATTTTGAAGTAGGTTTTGAGCAAGTTCTTGAATTGTGAATGGGACTCAGTTCGGCTGAGGGTGACTGGAAGATTATTCCACAGAGCTGGTGCTGCTACAGAAAAGGCTCTATTACCCATTGATGTTTTAGTGCTTGGCTGTGCTAGTCTTAACGTATCTTTTGATCTAAGAGCTCTGGTGGGTACATGCAGATGTACAAGCTGGCGAAGGTAGTCACAGGACTGGTCATATACTTTTGAACTTAGCATTTTTATATTGCTATTATGCTTGAATATTTCATCACGAATGTTTTGCTTTGTAACAAACACGCTTGTGATTATAACAACCATATGATACTACACTGTGAAATATTATTACCTCACCAAAAAATGTCTTCTCATCTCTTATTGATCTACTTGATGTTGACACTTATGTAAATTTTGAAATGTTGGAAGACGACGAAATGTTGTCAACACTCCATGGTGCAGGTACACAGTTCACACGATCCCTAGTGCGGGACACATATCATGTTGTCATTATAAACTTTGCAACATATGTCTATCATTTGAAACCATATCATGAGTTTGTATTTTAATGCAGACACTCTGTGTACAAGTGACACCATCCCTTTGTGAATGTTTGATTGTACTGCTGTACATTTCAAATGTCAACTGTGAATGACATTGTACTGTATGTAAATACTAATATGATTTATGTTTGATTGAATTCGTGTATCAATATTCTTCGGATTGATTTCTGGAACAAATTAAGAATTTTTTTCTCTATCTCTCATGGTAAATGTGAATATTTTTCGTATTCATTTTGTGCGTTTGAGCATGTCACGGACATGGCTATATGCGCTATATAAAAAGTCTATTATTATTATTATTATTCAAATGAAAAATTAACATCATGCTATTAGTTTGGTCATTGTCATACCATCGTGTATAATGTTGTTATGGATAAAGGGTGTCGTTGCACAAACCGATCTTAACCATAAAATAAGCGTACTTCACATAAGACTTGAGCCTTAAAAATAGACTCGGCTTCTCAATCCTTAAAGCTTACATTGGCACTCTTCCTTAATTACAGTACCCAGTCCAAGTCCAGAACAGGTCACAATACCACAAAGCAAAACTACCCTTTACGTTTAATGCTCAGTTCCTTCAGCAACACTTTCAGATCCTGAAATACGGTATCTCCCCTCGTACCGGAGAGCTACTGTCAGTTTTTCGACTTTCTTTTACAGAACATGACAACCAAGCCCGTTAGATGTCTGGCAGCATTTACAGTCGCCTTGTTTACATTCGCACTGGTTTACTCTATCGACAAGTATCTTGGCCTTCCGACGATGCCGAGTATCATTGTTCGACAGACTATCGCATCTGTGCAAAAGAACAAAACCAGTTCAGTGTCGGAGACAGTTAATAAATCCACAAATCGGGAGTCGTTTATCATAAACAGAATGAACACAACACTGAACAACCGAAATACAGAGCGAATTGAACCAGTGCTAAAAAAGGATGCATACAATGTGCCCGGAATACTAAAAAAAGGCCACCAAAGGCATTTTAATGCCAGTTTAAGAGAAGATGCTCTTGATAACACCTTTCCTCCAAGGAAGCGGTACCAAGGCGACTTTCAGCAAGTGGATGTTCGAATTTTTACATATTCTGCCATATACGAAATTGCCAAATCGTGAGTGCGGACACTTGTCCTAGTTCCGGAACCATTCACGCCTGTATCTTTCATCTGCATACTGAAAAGGTCGAGGTCACATCTTGGTCATAAGGTGAAAGGTCAGTTCCAGCACATCCCTCCAAGTAGATGGGGTACTTACAAGTAAGTATCAGTCTTTGAGTCCGTATACGTTTAGGTTTAGTGTGGTATCCATGTTAAACTTCAGCATTCTTTCCCAGTTTTCTAAACCCGAAATACTTCCTGATCAGTAAAAGCAGTCAAACACACAGGCATACGCACAGAGACATTTTAATAAAATGTGGTCAATTGGTGAGAATTTCTTCTCTGTTTCTCGTTTGCTTTCATGTGAGAGTTGACAGACATGTTGCAAAAATATTAAGTCACATATTGATTGAAGTCCCAGTTGAGCTGAAGCAATGACTAGCATTTATTCTTGCTGCACATCACATGTAACGAGCACGTATTTCTACATTGTCGTTATCAGATTGAGTGAGTGAGTGAGTAAGGTTTCACGCCGCTTTCAGCAATATTCCAGCAATATCACGGGAACACCAAAAATGGGTTCCAGACATACTACCTATGTGGGAAATTTGATATCCATGAAGGTCCGGGTTAGAATGAACCTTCAGTAACCCATGCTTGTCGTAAGAGGTGACTAACGGGATCGGGTGGTCAGACTCGCTGGCTTGGTTAACACATGTCATCGGTTCCCAATTGGGCAGATCGATGCTCATGATGTTGATCACTGGATTGTCTGGTCCAGACTCGATTATTTACAGACCTCCGCCATATAGCTGGAATATTGCTGAGTGCGGCGTAATAACTAAACTCACTCACTCACTGTTCTGAAAGTTTATTAAATGACTCACTCACTTCAGCGTGACGACCCCACCACCCCTATCGGGCTCTGAATTAACACTATTTGTGGTGCCTGAAATTTAATTTTCTGTTCATTTTCGGTCAAAATGGGCCCTTAAACCGAAAAACGTAACAGAAAACAAAACAGACAAGAAAAGGGTATCTACTGCAAGTACCTTCTTTACGTTAAGTTCTTAATATTTGTTTTCAGGAATCGATGTGGATTCGTTCACTGTCCAGTACCTCTCAACACCTACCCAGCGTTCATTTCTATCCTCACAACCCGGATGTCTTCTCCCATCAACGTCTTCCCCGTCAACTACCCTGGACCCCCCAACAACAACCTCACCCGCTGTTACCCTGCCGTGCATGGGAACTTAACCGACGTCAACACACTAGTCACGGCACTGGAGACCAACAGATACTTCGGGACAGACAAGTTCATCTTCTACAACTACAGCATACCAGAACAGGTCAACAAAGTCTTGCTGCAATATGAGAGAGAAGGCATTGTGGAGATGAGGAACTGGAGGCTGCCCTTTCCCCCAGAGGAAATCCACTACTTGGGACAGATGGCGAGTATGCATGACTGTGTCTTCTCTCAGCTTGGAGTGGCCAAATACGTTCTTCTTGCTGATGTTGATGAAATTGTTGTGCCTAAGAATAACGTTTCATTGGTAGATCTGGCTGACAGACTACTGAATACAAAAGATCCACGCTCTCAAAAAAAATATGGAGCGCTTATGTTCCAAAACACGTTTTTTTCACTCTATGAAAATGAGACAAAATACATGTTTTCTGAAAAAAAGATTGCGAAGAAATTCAGAATGAAGGCATTTCTGCATACAAACAGGTCACGCATAAATGGTCAAAATTACAGATCAAAACTTCTTGTGAAACCCGAGGCTGTGGATCTGATTCATGTTCATATCATGGAAAAGTTCCTTCCTGACTGGGCGATGTATGTAGTCAGCCCAGAAGTCGCTTTATTGCATCATTATCGGGAGAAATACGACAGTCAGAGCCTTGCACCTTGGAGTCAGGATTTCACCTTCATCAAACACAGCAGTAGTTTAATACCCAACATAAAGAAGCGACTTTTAAATCTCCAAAGTAATCTGGGAATAAAGATTTGAGTTTTGTCATTGGGTCGTAATATAAACGACAAAACCCTTTTCACATCCATAAGAAATTTATGCTCAAAGCAGAGTCGATTGTATAATGCCGACCATATTATAACGCTCTTTCAAATAGTGATGATACCACGTGTTCGCTCAAAGGTGGGCGTGTCAGTAGAACAATAGATCAGATAAAGTGTGGTATCAGTGAAAACAGGGAATTGCATCATAGCTTGGATCCTATCGAGACTATTTATGCAACTGAATTTAGTCGGACTGAATATAATATGACACATAGGTGTTCTCTTTGTAATGTTTTATTATTAGGTCTTCAGACGAAAGTCTGGAAGACCTACTGTTATTATTCGAATATTCTTCTTCTTATTACTATTTGTACAAATTTTGTGACAGCTCTCCAGAACTACTGGGTCGATTTTCATGAAACTTTCAGTGGTGATAGCCTGTGTGCTGAAATTGATACATAGTCAAAAAAATTCCGACTGCCGGTTTCCAGTAAGGGCAGACAACCCAAAATGTCAAGATCTTTACACCTCAATACCTCAAAAACTGTAAGAGATAAATTGACAAAATTTTCACTAATTGTAGACAACATCATTCTGAATCGATTTAACGCATAGCAAAAGTTGGCCGCCATGATAGATTTTCCGCCAGTTTGAATGCGTTTTTTGGCGTTTTTAGATGGTGCCTGTGTTTAAAAAAATTCTTCTCCTGAACGTCAAATAGTACAATCGTGTTCGATATATCTTTGTATAGTCCACACACCGGACTACATGGAATGCTCAAGGCATGTCGATCTCTTGTATGGTTTTGGAGTTTGGTGAATTTTTTAAAGACGCATTTTCATAGGGTTTATAAAAATGTCACAACTCTGCGGAAACACAATGGATTTAATTTTTGAAGGTACCAAATGGTAGATAATTGAAAGGGAAACATGTTAGCTTCACATTATTATTATGTCATAATCAATACTTAAGTCACAATTACGTCACAAACATTACCATTTTTCACATTTCCGCTCGTTTTGACGGTGCCTGTGTTTCATAATCTTCTCCTTCTGAACAGCAAATAGTACAATCGTGTGTGACATATCGTTGTAAAGTCCGCATCCGGGACTACTTAGGTTGCTAAAGGCATGTCCATATCTTCAAGAAATTTGGAGTTATCGCCTTTGGAAGTTGGTCAATTTTGTCAAAATGCATTTTCATAGGGTTAATAAAATGTCCCAGCTCTGCGAAACCACAATGGATTTCATTTTGCAAGCTACTACACTGTAGGTAATTGAATGGGGAACATTGTTGTTTCACATTATTGTTATGTAAAAGTCAATAATTACGTCACAATCACGGCACAAACACGAACATTAGGCCTTTTCGCATTTCGTTAGTGGATAGATAGCTGAAGGAAGCGTCAGTAAAATCTAGCAACAATCCCCACTTCCTGGTTTTCCACATTCCTGACCAACTCGTGTTATTCCGGGACAAACCGAATAGCGAACTTCTTGGAGGTTACGGAAAGGGGCGAGTGGTGACGAATGGGTTTTCCAGTGCCCATAGAAATAGTTCCCTCTTTAACAGGCCGTAGCTCCGTTGTTCTTTGGTCTACAGTCAAAACAATTAGTGTTCTGGAATTGCCAGGATGTGATCTATCCAGCAGTTTGTTTACCAACCTGACTGTGACAGGAATACGCTTGACGTTTTGACCACAACAAAATCTACATCATTTACAGGTAATTTCTCTTTTAGTATATGTTTGTATATATTGCTCAATTCCTTTGCTTTGTTTGACTGTGCTTTCCTGTTTGTTTTTCTGCAGTTTGTGAATTTTCCGTTTGTGTCAGCAGCATGGAATCAATGCCAAATTTCAAAAACACTGTAATGGACGCTCCAGATGGCGTCCAAAGAAACAGTACAATTAAAGGTAGCCACGGGGAGTGTATGGGGGAGTCTGAAGACCGTCAGTATTGCCCAGAAGGCAATCCTAGTTATTATTATGTTTTACAGATTAAAGATAACATGCAGCAGAGAGGGTTCGGGTGATCCTGGCACAGTCAGGCTGGTAATGCTCATCATCAGCTCAGGGCCCTTGCCCTCTACACGCAGCCCAGACAGCGAATGGTACTTCTACCAGGAAACACTGCCTAATCGAACCCACCAAGAACTTTCCGGAGAATATGAAGGCTCCCCAACACTGCAGCCTTCTGCATTACCCAGAGTGTCAGAAGGGCTTTGCTTCCGGTGGAGAACCCGGGCACTCTCCTGATCTGCGCCAAAAGATCAGGAGGTACCAAGCGCACCGAGAACAATGGGGAGCCTGACGACAGTGTACTTGGGATGCAAGCGAGACATTTCAAAGGCGAGGTCATGGTTCCTAGTATCCTGATCTACCTTCAGATTAGGGGTGGGCGATAATACCGGTTAACCGCTATATTGCAATTCGATCTTCACAATACGATATATTGCGGTACACTTTTTGCGAACCGGTTCACTCGATACGATCGCCAATTTCCGTGACCATGATCGGTAATTTTCGTGATGATGTATTTCCTTTATATTATTATACATTAATAGTTTTGAGAATGCTTATTGGTCATATGATATGATGCGTGACTTTTAAACCATATAGACTGGTACCGGCACTCGTTGATAAACAAACCAAAATGGGGGACGCCGCTGCAGACGCTTTTTCTCGAGTTCCAAACTTTAGAGTAAAGTCTTCAATTTGGAAACATTTTCAATTGATCTCTTGTACAATCACATCTGCGTCATGACAGTGACCAGTGCCATTGTTTCAAAAGAAAGGAAACATTAACTTCATTACCTTAACCATGTGTTACACTTTCACAATATATTCCAATACATATTGCAATACGCCGACACATATCACAATATATCGCAATACGAACATTTTGCCAATACCCAACCCTACTTCAGATGCTGGCGATCTATAGCCCGTGTTTTATATTGTATTGTCTTCTTTAGTTACACTGTTTTAGTTTTACATGCTAGTTTTATGTTCATATCTGTGATACTCTAGTATTTTTACTGTCCATCGTCGACAGGTTTAACTCTTCACAATGTTATCATTTTTGTATTATATAAATTGTTTTCGTCACGATATGGCTGAGATATTGCCGATGTGACGTTTAATATTAACTCACTCACTCACTGACTCACTCAAAGGCGAGGTCCGCATGTTTATCATGCTTTTCCTGAATATTGCCAATCACATTGCTGTCAAAAGGGACAATGATATAAATAAATTCATTGGCTTTATCAAAAAGGACAAGATCAGGTTTGTTGGCAGGAATTCTTCTGAGGCTGTATATGAGCCTATTCCACAGAAGTTTGAAAGCGTCAGTTTCCATGACGCCCTGGACATGTTCAGGGTCGTACCATGGATGGACCTCGGCGGAGACGGTAGTAGAAGCAACGAGCCATGCCATCATGTCGTTTAAGATATGCTGTTTGTGCCAAAGAAGGGCATCCACTGACAAGATGTTGGACAGTCTCTGTAAATTCATTACATAGTCGACATTTCATATTGTTATTATGTTTTACAGATTAAAGATGAAAATGCAGCAGAAAGGGTTGATCCTGGCTCAGTCAGGCTGGTAAGGCTCATCATCAGCTCAGGGCCCTTGCCCCTTCTACACGCAGCCCAGACAGCGAATTGGACTCCTCCCAGGAAACACTGCCTAGTCGAACCCACCAAGAACTTTCCGGAGAATATGTAGGCTCCCCAAAACTGCAGCCTTCTGCATTACCCGGAGTGTCAGAAGGGCTTTGCTTCCGGTGGAGAACCCGGGCACTCTCCTGATCTGCGCCAAGAGATCAGGAGGTACCACACCAAGGGCACCGAGAACAATGGGGAGCCTGACGACAGTGTTCTTGGGATGCAAGCGAGACATTTCAAAGGCGAGGTCTGCATGTGTTTCCTGAATCTTGCCAGTTGCTGTCAAAAGGGACAGAAAATTCAATGATATAAATAAATTCATTGGCTTTATCAAAAAGGACAAGATCAGGTTTGTTGGCTGGAATTATTCTGAGGCTGTATATGGGCCTATTCCAGAGAAGTTTAAAGCTGTCATTTTCCATGACGCCCTGGACATGTTCAGGGTCGTACCATGGATGGACCTCAGAGTCAAAGCCACAGGCATGGCGAAGACGATAGTAGAAACAACGAGCCATGCCATTATGTCGCTTAAGGTATGCTGTTTGTGCCAAGGAAGGGCATCCACTGACAAGATGTTGGACAGTCTCTGTAAATTCATTACACAATCGGCATTTCATGTATATATTTACCTTTAGAATCACATTTTGGCGATTGCGAGTGGTAAGTGACTTATTCCACTTTGTTGTTGTACAGCAAATCATATAATGTCATTAAACATATAGAGTTTCACAGAAGGTTCAAATGGTGTCATACATCAATATACCAAGTTTCATTGCAAAGGGTAATTGAATAGATGGGTCAAGGACGTTATCTGGCGGATGAGGAAGACGGCGTAGAAGTCGATAATCTCGTCCCAAACATGCTCTATCGGGGAGAGATCCGGTGAATTTGCAGGCCAAGGCAGTAAGTCAACGTTGTGGTGAAATCCATAGCAACCCTTGCCGTATGAGGGCGGGCATTGTCCTAATAGAATGTTAACCCAGGGCCATGACGTTGCAGAAAAGGAATTGCAACAGGTCGACGAATCTGATCCCTGTAGCCCCCACCAGTTAAGCTGCCCTGAACTATCACCAAAGGAGTTCTTTGGCGTGCTGTTATTCCACCCCAAATCATCACGGAACCACCACCAAAGCGATTCCTCTCCAAGACACAGGCGTGTGCATAACGTTCTCCCACGCGTCTATAGGCACTTTGACGTCCGTCACTATGGGAAATGTTAAACCTGGACTCATTTGTAAAAACAACATTTCTCCACCAAAACAAGGGTCTGCGGACATGATTTCGGCACCACATTCGGCGAGCTTGTCGGTGACGTTGTGTCAGGATAGGCCGTATGGCGGGACGTCGTGGTCTGATCCCGTGATGACGTAAACGTTGTCGAACTGTGTTGGGGTGGATACGGCGAAGTCCTGGGATGGTTCGGGCAGTCATCACTGCAGTCTGAAACCTGTGGCGAAGATGGGTCACCCTTATCCATATGTCCTGTCTTGGTGTTGTTACACGTGGACGTCCAGAACGTGGCCGAT